TTAAAAAAAACCCTACTCCACGTGTGCGTGCTCTTAACTTCTTACACACTTAGTTTTATATATATATATATATATATATATATATATATATATATAAAAAGTGAAAGATAGATTTATGAACCAAACAAGGCCTAAAGGAAAGGAAAAACAATCTCCAAAACATGTTCAAGAATCAAAATTCACATATCTGATGTCAACAACAAAGTCTGCAGCAAACACCCTGAAAAGTTTCACCGTACCCTTCGAACTTATGAGAGTTGAGAGACCCTTCAACCCTCTTTCTTTCTCTCATTCTATCTGCCAATGATGCAGAAACAACCGCAACCCCCAACCCCCAAACCCATTCTTTCCCTCAATGAAGAATAGTTCACCCTTCGCCGCCGTTACCTTCACTCTCTTCGCTGCCACCCTCTTAATCCTCTCTTCACTGTCACCGTCCCAGGCCATCGGTTCCGCTTCCACCCTCGCCGTTACCTCCGCCGCCGTATGCGGCGTGGTGGCATCGGAGCCGACGCGGCGCATTGCTTGCTACCGCGACGGCCACGTCGTCCCCATCGCCCCCATCATCTCGTTCTCCGCGATCTCCGGCGGCTTGAGCTACTTCTGCGGCCTACGGTCCGGTAACTATAGTCTTCTCTGCTGGGACACCCTTTCCTACTTTCAAAGCAAGAGACTTTACAACAATGTCACTGTTCTATTCGAGAATCTCGCCGTCGGGGACTCCCCGGTTTGCGCAACCGCGGTCGACGACGGAACAGTGTCGTGTTGGAGAATCAATGCCGCCTTCAAATTGCCTTCTGAGTCGGACCGTTTTTCTTCTATTTCATCTGGGTCGGGTTTTTCTTGCGGAATTTTGAAGGGTAGTGGTTGGGTTCGGTGTTGGGGGGTTGAGTCTGTGGCGAGAAAAATGGAGAGTGAGTTTGGGAACGTGTCTATGGTGAGTCTTGTGGCTGGGGAGTCACATGTCTGTGGGTTGAATTCAAGTGGGTATTTGGTTTGTAGAGGAAGTAACGATTTTGGTCAAATTGATGTTCCTGAAGGAGGAGCTTTGGAGTTTTCTGGTTTGGCGCTTGGAGGTGAGCATAGTTGTGCTATTCGGAGATCCAATGGTTCCGTCGTTTGTTGGGGTGGGAGAGGGTTGTTTGAGGTTAATGTTACAAAAGGTGTTTCTTTTGAGGTTCTTGTTTCTGGGTCCAATTTTACCTGTGGATTGACGACTAACAATTTTTCAGTTATTTGTTGGGGTCCTGGTTGGGCTAATGGTTCAGGTTATGAGGTTCCTTTGCCCCCTATTCTTCCAGGGCCTTGTGTTCAATCTTCTTGCAGTGAATGTGGGATATATCCTCAATCTGAGTCTCTGTGTTCCGGCTTTGGTAACATCTGTAAGCCAAGACCTTGTTGGCCTCAAATGCCAGGGCCAGCGCCACCACAAATGGCACCGCCGCCTGCGGTAGCGCTGCCACCTGCTTCTCAGCCAAGAGCCTTGACAAAAGGGTTATTGGCGTTTGCCATTGTTGGATCCGTGGGAGTTGTTGCTGGGATATGCACTGTGATTTATTGCTTGTGGACTGGGGTTTGTTTAGGGAAGAAAAAAATTCACAATTCTGTGCAGCCAACAATAACTAGAGGTGGCAGTGTAAACGGTGGGGGTGGTTCTAACAATAGTATTAGTCCTCCTTCGAGATCATCCACCATTAGGCGTCAAGGGTCGCGGATAATGAGGCGCCAAAGGAGTGGAACCTCATCAACAAAGCATCCTGAGAGGGCTGAGGAATTCTCCTTGGCTGAGCTTGTTGCAGCTACGGATAATTTCTCCCTTGAGAACAAGATTGGTGCTGGAAGCTATGGCGTCGTTTATAGAGGCAAACTTGCGGATGGCCGTGAGGTGGCAATCAAAAGGGGTGAAACGGGTACCAAGATGAAGAAGTTTCAAGAGAAAGAGAGTGCATTTGAGTCAGAATTGGCCTTCTTGTCCCGTTTACACCACAAGCACTTGGTAAGGCTGGTGGGGTTCTGTGAAGAGAACGATGAGAGGCTCTTGGTGTATGAGTACATGAAGAATGGGGCATTGTATGATCATTTGCATGACAAAAACAATGTGGACAAGAGTAGCAGTGTCTTGAATTGTTGGCGAATGAGGATCAAAATAGCCCTGGATGCTTCGCGAGGAATTGAATATCTCCATAACTATGCAGTTCCATCTATAATTCACAGAGATATAAAGTCATCCAACATTCTCATTGACGCGACTTGGACGGCTAGAGTATCCGATTTTGGATTGTCATTGATGAGTCCAGAATCTGACCTTGATTACCGGCCAACGAAGGCAGCAGGGACAGTTGGATACATTGATCCGGAATATTATGGTCTAAATGTATTGACTGCAAAGAGTGATGTCTATGGGCTTGGAGTGGTACTGCTAGAACTATTAACGGGAAAGAGAGCTATATTCAAGAATGATGAAAATGGAGGCACCCCAGTGAGTTTGGTAGACTTTGCAGTGCCAGTTATTATGGCAGGAGAATTGGCAAAAATTTTGGACCCAAGGGTTGAACCACCAGCTTTGAATGAGACAGAAGCAGTGGAGTTAGTGGCATATACAGCTATGCATTGTGTAAATTTGGAGGGGAAGGACCGACCAACAATGGCTGATATTGTGGCAAATTTGGAGCGTGCTTTGGCTCTTTGTGATAGTAGTCATGGCAGCATTTCCAGTGGTACAGTCTCCATTGTATCAGACTGACATTCAAACCCCGATAAAGCGAAGCAAAATAGAAAATGTTTCATTAGTCCTATTAATTTTTTTTTATTTCTTTCTGAAAATTATATGGGTATACTCTTGACCGTGTAAAGCCTAGGAATGTCACCTAACATCAAGCTGTAGTGTAGAATTTTGTGAAACACTAACAGCCAGTAAAATTCGTCAGTTTTGAATTTTCTTTTGCCATCCTCTTTATCTCACGACGAGAGTTTGCAAACTGCAATCCTTGTGCATGAGGCATCATTTCAAATGATTCATTTGTGCTAATGCATGTGACATTGTGGGCAAGGACACTAAAATTTTTGTAACCACTCTTTTTGTCCTTTATGCTACACGTTAAAGCAATGTACCTGATGCAGCCTCTATGTTAAGGTTTAGGGTATAAGTTTTAGGCATTGTACTTGATGTAACGTGGAAATCTAAATCACTTACCGCCATATCATGAACGTATTAACTATGACGCCTCATTTTGTTTACATTTATATTTGGTCGGAGGAGAAGGCACCGTCATGAGCTACTCATGTGGTCACGCGTTGACGGGGAAGCTACTTGTAGTTTACCAAGTCTATTGCAAATTTGACAAGCGTGTGAGAGAATGGGTGGGAAGGAGTGTGAACAAAGATTGGCTTTAGCATGAAACACAATGTTAGTGTACCCTAATTCTAGGTTACTATTTGTGAGAGTGAGTGGTTGGGTCTTTGGGTCCTGAAGTGCTATAATTAACCCTTTTTCTTCATTATCACCTTTCCAAACATGGACCCCATTGGTCTACACATTTTTTAATTACTTGAAAGAAAGATATTGCTGACTTCTATGATGGGTGCGAGAGTCTGACTAGAGAAAAGGAGCCAATTTCAGAAGTGGATTGGTTGATGACTTAATGGCCATAGCAGAATTGCTACTTTCTAATCACACGTCATCTAGGTGATAGGCTCGTAACACAGGCTTTTTAGAGTAGAAACATATTTGATGACTCTTTCTGAAACAATTTGCTCTTTCTCGCGAATGAAAGAAACCACTCAACACTGGTCAAATACGGAAGAGTGACTCAATGGCTAAAATTTGATGACACATGATGCAAATTCTGAACATGCTGGGCTAAGGGTTCTGGGCCATAGGGCTAATGGGTTACTGCAGTGTGATGGTGATGATGAGTGTGTCCTTTGTAATTAATGACTGGGTACTGATCCAACTCCCTTTTGTCCATTTATGTTTGCCATGAATGCTTATAGGTAAAGGCAATACCCAACCCAACACTTTTTATGGGTTCTTTGGTGTAATGTCAAGGCTAACTTTACAGGTAAAAATATTTTTCTTTTGAATGATAAATTTATATGATAGACAGAATATGGAGAACAAATTTCATTTTTTTTTATGTGGTTACTTCGAAGACTTACAACTTATTTGGTTGTGTTTAAATAATATTAAATGTTTTAAATTATCTTGAATAATTTGTGCATGCTTTTTTAGTTAAAGCTAAAATGTAATATATAAATTTAATAATATTTCAAATGTAAGAGAAACACATCTAACTGGGATGGGTAACAAAAACAGTAAGTGCCACCACGCTTAGGTCTTTATCTGTTAGCCTGTCATGACATGAACATCAATAATTTGTTAAGCCTATTTCTTCCAAGACTATTATCGACTTAGAGAAGCGATTACATTTTTTTCTTGCCTTTAATCAAGATATCTAAACACGTATTGGTATTATAGTATTAAACAAACATGCTCATTACGTACTCGTGCTCATTGTCAAACTAAAATTTTAAAACCACACTAAAATGCTTCGATGTTTTTAAAATAAAGCTTGTGATGATGTCAGAGAAACAAAACTTGGATCCCATTAACAAAATTTCATATTCCATATATATATATATATATATATATATATATATATTTTACTGAAGATAACCATCGAAATTATCAAAACGGATGGAAACTTCATATTTCCAACATAATTATAAAATTTGTGAAATGCCAAACCATCAAAGACAAAATATTCTCATACAAAGCACGAATAATTTGCATATGTTTATATTATGTCTACGTATATATTGACAAGCTTTACAAGATAAATAAGTCTCCTCAAGAAAACAAAATACACGACACATTTTATTTCTCACATCATTTAATGGGGCATTGTTCACGATATCATCCAGCTACTACATACAAACTCATACTACTAACACGACTTAATCACTGTACATAATAATGTAGAGCAGAAGGATGAACAGAATCAATTAATAAACTCAAAGCGCATGAGAAGCTTTACAGAGTTGTATTTCTCTCCTTTTTGGCTATGCAGTGGAATTGCTCGAATGCCACTTCTTAGCTCCCAGATTGGTAGGCATGTTTGTCCACCAAAGTCATCTTTCTCAGACATGTCATACTCATGAACTTCTATGCGAAGCAAGGCCAACTCTGGAACAGTAAGAGGGAACTCAAATACCTCATTCCATGTAGGTAACCAATTATCCTCTATTGCCCTTGTTCTCTTCATTACAGTATCATTAGGGACTCCAGCAATCCCCACCTGCATTAAAAGTTTATCAAATCACACAACTGAACTGAGCCATCAAACCAGGTGACAACAAAAGGGAAGGTATCATATGCAATCTATAGCAATGGACAACTATCCTTAAGAAAATGAAAACGCATTGCTGTGATAAGGATCCTATGCATTAAGATATATCATCTCAACTTACTCTTGTGTAGAAGTCTGGAGGTGAGTATTGATCAAAGTGTGTATGCTTGAAATCATAATACCATCCTTCCCCCATATATACAGTTACCTAAGAATTGGAAGAGCATGGACTTTGTTAGTATAAAACTGTAGATTGATACTTGAATGAGGCAGCTGATTTACGTGAAACCCTTACCTTCAAAGTAGTCTTCACAGGTAACTTGGCTTTAGGATCGAAGACCTCATTATCTGGACCAGAATTTAATAGAAAATCTGGTTTTTTAACATAACCACACCCTCCATTGGCTCTGAACATTCCATGCATTAACCAAAGAGATCTACCATAACCCTGGCCATGAAACCAATCACAATGAAAACTGAATCATATAAAACAACATCGTAATCAAGTGGATCTTACACACTAACTTCTTGCAGGCAACACCCATCAAGGGATTCAATAAATTATAAAAAGGACAGCCCAATGTTTTACCGATCACATTGCCAGATATCAAATGTTTATTGTACAACTTATAGCATCAGATGTCAAATGTTTATTGATTCTGTTGGCAACTTTAAGGTTAACAATTTCATCTCCCCCTGCCACCTCAGAAGAAATGAGGCAACAAAAATGAAGATACAAAACAATAGTAAAAATTCCCATGCAATATTAAATAAGGAAAACAAAAAAAGTGGGGAGGGCAGAGCAGGAAGAATGAGGAAGAAATATACACAAGGCAGAGGAAGATACCTGCATGTTAAATGCAACCATTTGAGCTCCATGCATCCACCCAATTAATGGGTTATAATTTGATGAGTCAATGCGTGTACCTTTGGGATACACCCTCAAAATATTCCGCTGTGTAAACCTAGAGAAGGCCAAGAATCAGGAAATAAAATGAATTCTAATTCGCATACACATCACACACCTAATCTTAACATTTACAACATTTTGCATGGCAATAGAGTTAGAGGATGTTTATTCATTCATTAATAAAGAGGGTTTAACCACATATCTTCTACCTTGAAAATTTTATTCAGTTTGCTTGAAATATTTAACAATACCTGACAATTTGCTTTCCATGATTTATAGCAGCCTTCTCAAGCTGTTGCTCACTTAAACTCAGACGTCTCACTTTATTAGGATCCACTTTGAGGCATTCCTCTAATCCACCTTTAGGCTTCCCAGCATGAATGGCGATTAGGTGTCTATATTCTGGAGCTTCATTATGTTGTGACTTATCTAATTCATCAGATTCTTCCTCATCATTAAGATATTCCTCCACATTGTAGTCCTAAAGATGGCAAAGCAGAAGGTCAATTAATAAATTTACCTTACAATATTAAATGCACTGGCAATTAGTATACAGGATAGATTTAGTCTCCAACCTTGAAATCATCCAGAGTACCACCTTTCAAGCTAGGAAATTCCTTCCCCCAAGTTTCATCCTCTCCTGATGGCTTTCGGTGTTGTGAATCATCCCCCTTTACCTTTTCATGTGAATCATCCCCTTTACCTTTTTCATTTGCCCCAAGGTACTCCTTAGGTGGTTTGGTTGATATAATAATCCTCTTTTTAAGTGATTCAGGAGAAGGGAACTCCTTCACACTATCGGTGTTAGGAGTAAATAGAATGTCTCCAAAAGTTTGTGTAACCATCTAAAAATTTGGATAGGATTGTTAACTATTAAGAATATAAGTATTATGAATCCCATTAAAACACCAAGTAACTAACCTCAGCCACTCTAGCCTGAAGATCCGGTGTCAGGTGGTCTTCTAGGGTTATTACAACTGGATATTCTGATGCCACAAAGGCATATTCCTTAATAGATCTTAAACATCTGATGAGCTCTACAGGAGTAGTCAATGTTCTGTATTGAAGAAAAAAAAAAATAGTAAACAATTATATATCAAATTTTCAATTGAATAATTCCTGGATTCAGTTGGAAATGACAAACAACACATTGATATAACATTCTTTACATATAATCTGTTCAACAACCATGTTTCAAGTTTATTTTTACACAACTTCAAACTTATGCTTGAATTATGCCAGATTGCAGAGGTCACACTGCAATTCATCACCTTTTTACCTCAACGGATTCTGGCAAAACTAATGTACCCTAATGGCAAAGGCTCGGTATAGGAGAGGCTAATTGTATGCAACCTTCCTGTTGCATATCCAAAGAAACCCCTTTGCATAAAAGCAATGAAGCCTTTTTCAGATTCAAACTCTTGACCAATCGGTCACCAAGGGGCAACTTTACCATTGCACCATGGCTCAACCTCACTCTGGTATCATCATTCTCAAAAAAGCACAAGTTAATTCATTCTTTAAAACATTTTGTATTCCAAGCAAGTCATGCCTACACTCAGCCATAAATTTAATTTTGAAAACTGTTAAAATAGAAATCTAAATAAATTTTCAAATTAAATTTATTTCTTTCACTTCTGCCTGATCAGTAAAGAAAAATGAGGGAAATTAGAAACAAAGGAGCTGGCATGAGTTCATGTATGAGAGTAACTGTGATTCTACCTGTAAATTACTGAACTTACCTTCCATGAAGAACATCTATATTATCCTTTGCTGCATTAGGCCATATGTCCAATTCAATCACCCTCACACCTCTCTTCAGTGCATTTATGATGGGTACATCACTGCAGTCGCTGCTCAGCTGATTCCCAGTTAAATAGGAATTATGCCCAGTATATATGAAATAATGTGACAAGGGTAAATTCATATTGTGGTTCACCTGGAATGGAAGAAATATTTACACAACACACAATGATCAGGATAAGAGAATGCATATAATTAAGCATAATATAATAATACCAATATATATGGAAGTAACAATTAGTTGTGTAAAATTTGGACGGAATTCCACATGTTAATCAAAGTTTGGGCCCTATAACCCTTGTGTAATACCTCGGAGCCAGATTTTTAACAAATTAAGGCACTAGAAAAGAAGATCCTCAACTAAAAATGACTGATTTCCATTAACACAATCAAAACCAGTGTAAGAACTAAAAAGTAATGCATATCCTGAAACAGTGTGGCACCACGTAGCATATCAAACAACAAAGGATATTTCCACAAAATGAAATATAAAGTGAAAGGCTTTATATTTCCAGCAAAGCCCTGTCATTCAAGAAGGAACCCTTGACAGAAAGTTCAACTTCATAAAAGTTAAATTCATTCTGAAACCCGATCCTCAATCCTGTAATCATTTTCTTCTACGACTTCAGATACAAATCTTTATAGTCAACGGGTCAACCAAAATTCTATAAACAACCAAATTTCAGACATTTTTGGACCAACACGAAGCCAAATCACAAAAATTCAACAACGATTGACCCTTCATACATAACAATAAACGAAGAGCTAGCACGAGTAGACCAAGCTTCTGCAAAGATGACAGCAAAAACAAACACCACAATTGGAATATAAACAAACGAGCTAGAAGGGAAAACCCAAACAAGGTTTAAACAAGATAATGAATCTAGAAAAGTCCAATCTAGGAAGAAGAAGAAGAAGAAGAACAGCACCCAATTGGACAGTAAACAATGCCAAATCCAGATCTCGCTGACCCAACTGACTTGTCAAAAACTAAAACAGGAAAACACAAAAATTCCGAGTTCTTTTCTGTTTTTTTGCTTACCCCATGAGAAGGAAGAAGAGGAGGGTTGTCTTCACCGAAGAGGTACTTGAAGAAAGATTCGAGGTTGAGGCCAACGCCTCTGCGATGGAAATGCCTGAAGCTGTCGATGATGGCTTGCGCATCTTCTTCAGTGGCCTTCTCTTGCTTTTGCACTTCAACCAGGAACCTTTTCAGATGCGAAGGCGTCATGATCTCATTCTCGGAGTACTCCTCGAAGAGAGTCTTGATCTCCGACGGCGCCTCCGCCAGGGCCAGCTTGAACCGCCGCCTCCAGCAGAAGCACACGCTGTATGTCTGCTTCGACATCACTTACTTCGATTCAGTTCTCTGTTCACTGATCTCTTTCACTACCTACACAAATATATGTGTGTGTGTGTGTGTGTGAGAGAGAGAGAGAGAGGGAGAGAGAACGAGTGAGTTTGTGCGTGTGGATTCCGAGTTTACACAATCCAAAGGGTGAGGTGGACCATGCTTCAACCTTTTGAGTTCTTCAAACTACCCTACTGTTAAATACGTGTATCTATAGTTTAAGAAAGAAATAATTTTTCTTTAACAACGTTTAACAGTAACATTGTCACGTAGAATCATGAAAGAAAGCCCAAAGGAACGAGAATACAATTTGACGTGACACTAGTCATGAAAAATAAAATAAATAGATAATATAAACGAAGCAGTGAAAATATTTATACACCGCGTGTGAATTATGAAAGGGATAACATCTCATCGATACGAAAGGTAAGAGATATATTAATAAAAAAATTAGTAACAATAATTATGAAATTAAAATATATTTTTTTAAGTTAAAACATTAAAGGTCAAAGTGGCCCTGTCTCATTTTGTTTAATGTTTAAGATTCTGATAAAAAAAGAAATTATATTTTAGGTTTTATATCAAAAATTAAATAAAATTAACTTTGATTTCATATAAATTAAGAAATAACATTAATATTTTAAATTTTTATAATAATAAAATATTACGTAATGTCTTAATTTTTTCTTTCCTATTAAGTAAATTTATCTCTTTTTTTCTTCAAAAAACAATCATGTTGAAGAATAAAATAAAATTCAACAAAATAAATAACACCAATTACCACATAGTTGGCACGTTACAGAAGTATCGATCCATCTTTCAGGTACTTTTCGTATTCTTTCTTATTTTTTATTCTTTATGTATAATAAGACTTAGTTTTCATGTCCGGATTTTTTTATTATTATTATTTAAAAAGAAAAGTCTTATAGTCTTGGTTTTTTTATTGATAAAGCTACCATGATGTTACAATGATGCTATATTTAAAAAAAATAAAATCTTATGAATAAGATATATTTTATTTCACTCTTATAAATATATTATTTTTTATTTTAATTTAATGACAATATATTTTAACGTGAAAATTACAGCAGTAAAAGATTAATTAATCCTTTGAATAATAATTACTAAGAATCACATCAAATTCCCAACCTGTTATTCTTCCAAAAGAAAAAGTAAACTGAAAATAATTTGATATAACACCCTATTTGTAAAAATTTCAGAATCCTGCAAGATACAATATATTAAGCTCAAGCTCGTGTTTTATTATTTTTAATAGGATGGTACAAATTTTATTCTGAGGATGGAATTAAACCAACTACATCACCATTTTTGAAAAAACTCAATCTGATACGAATCCTCTTCGATCCTGCAACTATATAAACATAGAAAGTAAATTTTATTAGCGACAGATTATTTTGGAAAACGAATAACTTATTTTTTTTGGAAATAAACGTAGATAATTATTCTTGGGACTATTTTTCACACGAGTGTTGGTTTTGTTGTGTCCACATGCCCTCAACAAATAATCATTTCATGAACACCATGATTCTTCAATTTCAAACAGACCCAATTATTCCTCTGTAAATAATTGTCAATATGCCAACATTATCTATCTGTTTGAATAAAATTTAGATGTGGAATATATTCACATGTCTTGCATGGATATTTTTTCAATAGTACTTTGAATACAGAAACCCTATTAATATTGTTTTGGTCCCACTCATGCATCATGCAATTCTTCAGAATGTTGACCCAGCCACCACTTGAATATATAATTTGAAAGCTGTAACCAACCTTTTTTGTTTTGTATCTTCCTTCTACTTTGGTGCTTTTTTGTGGAATAGTTAAAGTTTGATTATCTCTGAAGCAAAGCTTAATTAATACAATACTACACTTCTTTAAGTCTCATTGGATAACAGTAACTTCATCCTCTAAATTAAGTATCATTTGAAATCAACTTTTCTACTACCCATTTCATTTGTAACTCATGGATCATTAATTTTATCTTCGTGGTAAAAGCAAATTGATTGGGTATGATATGATCCATCTCATTAGATATGTCATAATATTCACACCTACCCTTCCTACCATCATATTGGTTTTGGTGGCACCGTTACACAACCCTATTCATTTTTTATTTTCAAAGTCAACACTGTCAAATTTCTTCCTAACATTTTGTGTAATTTTGAATTTAATATATAAATATATAATTTTTTTAAATATCAAAATTAAAGTTTAAATTTTGTTAAAACAAATTTTAATTTTACATAATAAAGGTACTTCAAAAAAAAATCCTAACTTTTCTGAATTCTTCTGATTCAGATCCAGTACCAAGTACCTTTAGACTGCCCAATGGTGAATAACTATTTTAATTTTCAAGTATTGTGAAATTTAAGCATGAGGGGTGTTGTCTTCTTCTAATTGCCTTGTATGATGTCCGTTAAAAGAACTACGAACTTGTTCTTGAAAGCATGTCCTTTACATTGGTTCCGACCGAAGCATGTCCATTATCTTATCTTCTACCTCTTATCTTAGAGACTTTAAGATAATGTCTAGTCTAAGCATTATTTGCTACCATGAGATTGGGAACAAACGTTGCACCTTGTTTTGTTTGGTTCGATAGATTAAATACTAAAGTATAATAAATGTTTAAGCATGCCATGTATTTTGATGTTTGAGATTACGATGTTTCGTAAGCAAGTACAATTTCTATGGTTGCTACATATTATATTCTATTATTTAGTTATATTTTATTGAAGATAATAGAAATTTTTTTTTATTGTTTTAGAATGCCATTTGAATATATTATGGATTTGTTAGTGTCTAATTGGAGAGGTTATCATCTCAGATATTATCAATTCTCAACTTTATTTTATTTCTTATTTGATTAGAGCTAGTAATTTTAGTGAGTAGATAGTTTGAACTTAATATGATTGGTAACTTGGAAATGTATTTAAGTTAGGGGTTCTACTCTTTGGTGTTTAGTTTCAGTGTGTTTTGATGGTTTAGAGATATTGACACTTATAAAATATGCCCATGATTATAGAAGCAACAATTGAATTTTATAAGTTTCTCCAGAATTGATATAGGATTAATAATGAAATATATTTTCGAGATTTCTCTAACTAAGACTAAACTTATAATCTCATTTGTAATTTCAGGTTAATTTGAAAAAATCGTAAAATTGTTATTGTTTTCGGATAATGAGAGTTCTTATCAATTGTTCCTTATATGATTTGGAAAATGAATATGATTTTCTAATTTAGAATTCTTCTGTTAAGTTCGTGTGAACACTGGTATTGCCGCACAATAATTTCTCGTGTGTGCACTGTGAGCATGTAATTTAATAACTGTTCATTATATTTTTGAGTAATAATTCATTGAAAATTAGACCCACAGTTCATTATATTAATATAATAATTTTTTTTCAGACCTTTTTCCGTTTTTTTTTTCCTCTGTTAAAATTCTCGAACTATTTCTTAATAAAATAAAAACGCAACTTTAGTGTAAAGCTTAATTTTTCCCTCATTACTTTCTAAAACAATAATGTCATTGGGGATGTATTTATCTGTAAGATCTATCCTCCTACGAGCATATACTAAAATTTAGCAGAGAACGGGCACAACAATAGTGTTCGTTATCAAATACAAAGGGCGAAACAAGAGTCTCCTTCAAAAGAGTTGCAGAGGTGAATGAATGGATGAATTGTGACGCGACATGTCCACTAACGTGGAGAGAGATTCACCATCCAACATCTTCCTCGTCATGTTACATATATTTGACTATGTGTCAGTAGAAAGGTGGCATATGCCACCCTGTGTTGCTGTGCTGTCAAACATCTCTCAACTGATTTATTTATCAACTTCTTCGTTGTAAGGTATGACATTCATAATCCACATAAAATAAATTGATAATATAGAATAGTCTAACATCTATGTAAATCATATCATTTGATATGAAGTAGGTGACGTGAGACTTAATCTGCCGGATAAGGTAAAAGGTACTTTTAACCTAACTGAAGGACAACTTTTGACCCATGACAATAACCGGAAAGATGTTAGACTTTGACTCTGATACCATGTTAAGGTTCCAACATAAAACCAATTGGTAATATGTGGAGTATCCTAACATATATATAAACCATACCAAATGATATGAGTTAGGCGACTTGGGACTTTCAACAACATCAATTTCTCATATCTATATTATGTCTTTCTGGTCTCAGGATCAATCAGTATACACCTTAAAATTTACATGACTCTCAACAAATGATATAAACACTAAGGTATAAAACTGGATACTGCTAATAATGTTTGTGTTGTGCTGGAGGTGAAGAAAATAAGTTAGATGACCTCTTAAGCCCATAATATTGTTTCAAGCAGTTAGATATAAAGATAATCTATAGTTACAACAACCTTTCTTGATGAACCTAGTCACTAGTCAAAAGAAAAACCTCCTAGGAATATGAAACCATGTACATGCCTACTAAATAATGGCTAATCTTGTTGTTCATTGAACTGAAACCGCATTAAAAGCTTTACAGATTTTAATTGATCGCCCTTCTGATCAAATAGAGGAACTACCCGGAAACCAGATCTTAGCTCAGAGACTGGTAAACATGCTTGCCCGCCAAAGTCATCCTTTTCATGCTTATCATACTCTCGAACCTCTATCCAGAGCAGAGCTAGTTCTGGAACACACAAAGGAAATTCAAATTCTTCATCCCAAACGGGAAACCAATCATCCTGAATTATCCTGGTCTTCTTATTGACTTGATCTGCGGGTACTCCAACAATGCAAACCTGTTTTGCATGCAATAATCAAATGATAAATATAACATATTTTTGTTTCGCTTTTTTGCCATTGACAACTGCAATTACACAGCTAGCTCTTTAAACTATACAGTCTACTCTTGTAGAAAGTATAAAAAGTTGAAGGGTTTCCAGCAACTATATTAACAAAGTTCAGCCCAGTCACTAGTTGGAGGTGTATCAGTC